AATAATAATAATCTGTGTGTTTTTTGTTTTAACAGAAAAACAACTCCTTCAAATCTAGATTTCTTCTTTTTCCGCCCTGAGGACAGCAGACTGAAAGGTAATCTGGAGATTTTAGAGACGAGGTAAAAGTTAAAAAGACGTTTAGTGATTCGTTGGTTCTTGTTTTTCAGAAGGTCCTGGTTTGTTCTGCAGGACCGCTGAGCTGCAGGAGCAGAGGGAGGAGTGGCAGGAGAGCAGGATCACGTTAAAACAGGTGTGCACCTGAGACTTTCATCTAAACCCAACGTTATATTAAATGTTTGTGTTCAGAGCGTCGTTATCAAACAAACAACTTTACTAAATGATCAAACATGAAGAATAATTCAAATTAAATTATTGCAAAAGCTGAGAAGATTATTAAAATAGTCATTTTAATAAAAATATCAGTCCAAAAAATAAAAAGTTATATTTTGCTGTGCAAAAGACAGATGTTTGCTATAATTTTAAAATATTTTTGAATATACAATTATAGCACTTAAATAATGTGTTTGCTCTGAAAAGTTATGGAGGTAGTTAAATATTTGTAGGAATATATCTGACTCAAGTTTTGCCATAAGTTGTCGCCCTCTAGTGGTGTCATCAGTAAACACACGTGTATTTCCTCTGCTCCACATTTGAATTTTACAAACATTTAAAATAATAAATATTTTATTGCTTCGACCTGGGTGAAGATGAAACCTGTTTCTATAAATGTTTTAATTTTGTTTTCTCTGTACCTGCAGGAGTACAAGAAGAAGCACAGAGACGCCCGGAGGAAGCTGAGGGGCTCCCAGAAGAGCTGAGAATTCTGGGAAATGTAGTCTTTGTGTTACACTCAAGTTCTGATTGACTGCAAACAATTTCTCTTTTTCTGAAGAGAGAAGTGAAAGTTTAATCCTCAGTATCTGATCTTTGGTCAGATAATGTTTTGAGACATTCTTAGTTTGTTTCTTTTTGTTAAATTAGAAAAAAATGTTTAACATTTAACTGAAGAACAACAAAAAACTAAACTGGTCAAGTGTAAAAAGAAAGTTCTTTAATACATAATATGTTAAAGATTCATACAAATGTTTAATAATGTACCTTTTTACACTTCTTCATTTAATAAATAATTCAACTCAGTGTTTTGATCATTTAGCTTAAGTTTTAAATATTTCATTGAACATTCTCATCAGTGTGTTCAGTTTAAGCTCTTATTCTGAAACGTTCCACTAGAAGCTCCGTGTTGGAGCTCTTATTCTGAAACTTTCCACCGGAAGCCCAATGTTTGAGCTCTTACTCTGAAATGTTCCGCAAGAAGCCCAATGTTCAAGCTCTTTGCTGAAAAATTCATTCTGAAGCCAGTGTTTGAGCTTTTTTTCTGAAACGTTCCTCCAGAAGCATGGAGTTCGAGCTCTTATTCTGAAACGTTCCACTGGAAGCCCAATGTTCGAGGTCTTATTTTGAAATGTTCCACCGGAAGCTCCGTGTTTGAGCTCTTATTCTGAAACTTTCCGCGGGAAGCTCCGTGTTCGAGCCTTGAAACGTTCCATCGGAAGTGTTCGAGCTCTTATTCTGAAATGTTCCACCGAAGCCTAATGTTCGAGCTCTTATTCTGAAATGTTCCACCGGAAGCCCAATGTTTGAGCTCTTATTTTGAAACATTCCACCGGAAGCCCAATGTTCGAGCTCTTATCCTGAAACGTTCTACCAGAAGCTCCGTGTTCGAGCTCTTATTCTGAAACTTTGCTCAGGAAGCCCAATGTTCAAGCACTTATTCTGAAATGTTCTACCAGGTGTTCGAGCTCTTATTCTGAAACTTCTGTGGGAAGCTCAGTGTTGGAGCTCTTATTCTGAAACTTTCCGCGGGAAGCTCCGTGTTTGAGCTCTTATTCTGAAATGTTCCACCGGAAGCCCAATGTTTGAGCTCTTATTCTGAATTGTTCCGCAAGAAGCCCAATGATCGAGCTCTTATTCTGAAACATTCCACCGGAAGCCCAGTGTTCGAGCTCTTGTTCTGAAACATTCATTCGGAAGCCCAATGTTCGAGCTCTTATTCTGAAACGTTCCGCCGGAAGCCCAGTGTTCGAGCTCTTATTCTGAAACATTCATTCGGAAGCCCCTTGTCGAGCTTTTTTTCTGAAACGTTCCTCCAGAAGCATGGAGTTCGAGCTCTTATTCTGAAACGTTCCTCAGGAAGCCCAATGTTCGATCTCTTATTCTGAAACGTTCTACCAGAAGCTCCGTGTTCGAGCTCTTATTCTGAAACCTTCCGCGGGAAGCTCCGTGTTCGAGCTCTTATTCTGAAACCTTCCGCGGGAAGCTCCGTGTTCGAGCTCTGAAACGTTCCACCAGAAGTGTTCGAGCTCTTATTCTGAAATGTTCCTTCGGAAGCCCAATGTTTGAGCTCTTATTCTAAAACATTCCGCCGGAAGCCCAATGTTCGAGCTCTTATTCTGAAACGTTCCACCGGAAGCCCAATGTTTGAGCTCTTATTTTGAAACGTTCCACCGGAAGCTCCGTGTTTTATGTTGTTTAATTGAAGCTGAACTTCTCAGTAGTTTGTGAAACTTGTTCGGGACCAGCTGAGGTTTGGACCGGGGTTCGGACTGGTTTCTGACTCGGGTTTCGGTCGCAGCTCTTGTCCGTGAAGGAGTCGAACCTCAGCCGGACAACATGAGCCCGCTCTGGTACCTTCTGGTCCTGTTGGTCCGGAGCGCGGAGCTCCGTCCGGGGATCCATGCGGAGGATGCTGCGGGGATGGAGGCTTCTGTCTCGGCGGACTCGAGCGCTCTGATGCGGGTTCCCCGAGGAGCCAGAGACGGGAGTTTCAGGAGGAGAGAGCCGGTCCTGAAGAACAGTCCTCCCGGCAGACTGGACGACCCGAGCGGCTTCTTCACCACCACCACCACCGCCCCCACGCGGAGCATCCTTCTCCCCTCCGCCCCGCCGCTGAACTCCTCATCCGGCCGGGCTCCGGCGGGTCCGGGGCTCCTGAACCCTCTGTTCCCGGTCACGGACGGCTCGTACTGGGCCTACGCGGTGCTGCTGCTCGCGCTCGTCCTGTTCGCGGCGGGGATCGTGGGGAACCTCGCGCTCATGTGCATCGTGTGGCACAACGTGTACCTGAAGAGCGCGTGGAACTGCGTGCTGGCCGGGCTGGCCTTCTGGGACTTCCTGGTGCTCTTCTTCTGCCTACCTGTGGTCATCTTCCACGAGCTCACCTTGACGCGGCTGCTGGGACACGTGTCGTGTCGGCTCGTGCCCTACCTGGAGGTGAGGGGATTTATGGTTTTATTTATTACAGAAGTTTTGTTTTTACAGTTTCTATTTTTAAACATTTGATTCTTCATCATGTGCTTCTTTTATTGTTTTATCTTCAGATGTTTAATATGTGATTGAAATAAAAACTTTATTTAATAAACTAACAGAATAACTTCATGTAAAAATTTAATCAATATTTGTAACTGATAATAGAAGCATAAATTAAAACAAGAATATAATTAAAACTAAACAAGTGCAACAAACAATTTAAATCTGGCAACTTGGTCCAGTTTATGTCCATATTTATTTAAGAAATGTTTAAATT